CCTCTACACTCTACACTCTCTACATTCTATATCCTCTACACTCTACACTCTCTCTGTGTATTTTTACTGCCGAGTCTCTTCATCTTTATCCGTTTGTCTTTATATCTGAAGCTGTTTATTATTTTTTGAGACGCACCATGAGCCTGAATCAATGCACAATATAAAACAATAAGAGCTGAGCCTCGTTGTGTTGACGACCGCTCAGCTCCATCTTGCTCAACACAATGGAACGCAGTCGTTGTTATTGTCAATCAATAAATCAATAAATCGATCTGTGACGAGTCAAAATGTGTCTTTGTTTCCACGTTTGAATAAAGTTTCAATTTTAATAAACAGCAACTGTGTTTTGATAAAAGTAGTTTAACACGTCGGGACTTCATGGATCTGATCGATACCCGATCAATACCGATCAATACCCGATCAATAACTCTGCAGTAAAAGGTTTGATCCTGATTGGTTCAGATGTCACTCATCATTTACAACTGAATTTAAAACTTTATCGACAACTTTTAAAGCTGTAACGTACCTATTACACTGCATCGAGCTTCGTCTCCCTGCGCTCTGATTGACTGATTTCAGTCACACCTGAGACAAAAGTCTAAAACAGAGACAGGAAGTAGAATCTTTTACCTGGAGAGCAGAGAGCGAGGGGCGATCGAGCACCGAAGAGACGTCTGAAAGAGAGAAAGAGAAGAGACAAGTTTAGCAGCTGATAAAAACCGATAGCTGGGTCGGAGTGGGCCAATCAGGTGCTGGCATGCTTCCCAGACAGCCAATCAGCTCCCACAGTGTTGCTCTAATCAGCTGTGAGGAGTCTTTCCCAATGAAATCCGCACATGAACCCTCACCTGTTGTCACACCTGTGATGTTCAAAGATCACATCCTGCTCCTGAGTTCAGCTCAACTTCCACACAGTTTGAGAGAGACGTGTCGCAGAGACCTGGACCCTTCACCTCTCACCTGGTTCTACCTGAACCGGGACCCTTCACCTCTCTCCTGGTTCTACCTGAACCTGAACCTCTCATCAGACCCAGACCGGCTCCACTGGACCTCCTCCAGGTTCAAGCCTGTGACGGGTTTTCACCTAAATTCAACTTGTACTCATTTCACCTGCAGAGTCCTCATTCACACAAACCCTCGACCCTGAGACCTGGTCTACAGGGACTAGGTCTCAGTGATCAGTGGAATGAGCTCATGTTCTCATATCGAGACCGCTACAGGTCTTCCGTCGTGTTCTCTCTGAGGCGTAATCGGCCTTCTGGGAAACGATGCATCTTTGTTTCCTCATGAGTTAAACACACTCCACCATTGTTGTGACATTTTACCGGTTTTATTAGTTCTCATCAGCGTCACTGATCTGGTGTCAGATGTCTGCTCTCTCACACGGACTTCATTGTTGAGGACTGGTTCTCCTCCTCCATCCTCCTTTAAAGTGATTTAACTCACGAGGAAACAAAGATCGATCCTTTTCCCACAATGCCGTCCGTCACCTGTGACCTGAGCAGGTGACTACAGGTGAGGGTTACTGACCACTGACCCAGACCAGAACAGACCCGGTCCCACTGACCCAGACCCACTGACCCAGACCAGCCTGGTCCCATGGGTGCTGATGGTCGGGTCGTTGGTCGTCGTGGATCAGCTGATCAGCAGGAGAAGAATCGAGCGTTACGATCAACATCAGAGCTGCTTCTTAAAGTTATTACGATGACCTCACAGTGTGTTATTATTATTACACGAAACACACAATCTGTGTAATATAAAAATGGCTGTCTGTGTATATAATATTTTAGTTATTGTGGATTTTTTACTTATTTAATCTTTTTACTGTTTTATATACATAGTGACTGTGTGCAGGATCACCTTAAACTGTGACTTCTCTACGAGGTCCGGTCCGGTAGCACACTGGTGCTAGTGAGTAGCAGCAGAGGTCAGAATTACACACACATCAACACACACCAGAGGATCACGAGCTCACCTGGAGGACTTCCGGTAAATTCTTCCGCTCCGTTTTAGCTCCGGAACACGAGACCAAACAACTAAAAATAAAACAGAAGAAGAAAAGAAAGAAGAAGAAAGTGGTTCGTCTCTTCAACTTCTCCTCTTCACCGTCCGCCGTCTGCTGCTCTGACGTTTCCGTTACCCTGCGTCATGACGTCTTTACGCAGCATACAGGGGCGGGGCTACAAGGAGGTGGGCAAAAACGTTTTGAACCAATCGGAGGGCAATTCCTGAGGTGAGGGGCGGGACTTCGTTAGAGCCACGTAACCGATTGTCACGAGTGACGGCTGTAGTCGTTGTAGTGGCGAGTCCAATGACCAGAACACACGAAGAAGAAACTCTCTTTATTGATAATATTTAAAACATGACGTCACATTGAACGGAGAGACAAAGATTTAATATGATCAATATTGAAAAACAAATCATTTGAACACATTTTATTTACACGTAAAACACAAACAAGGAGAAAATAAAGAGCTTTGTTCCTGTTTTATATGAAGTTTATATAACATTCAATCATAATATATTCAATATCAGTATCACTTAATATTTGTAATCTTTCTATTTTAATTGTATTTATTTATTTACCTTAATATTATTGCTATTGTGTTTTATTTTGCAATGGTGTCAGTATTATTTATTTTAACATAATTGTTATTCTATTGTTCATACATTTGTATTCTGTTGTAATCTTTAATTAGTTAAAGTTCTCTTATCTTTATTCTATAATATATTAGTATTGTTGTTATAGGATTGTAATGATGTGAAGAGTCAACTCACTCAAGGACTTTCCAGGAACATCTTCCAGGAACTTTGAGGACCTCTGGAACATCTTCAAAGATCTTTATTTATTATTTCTCATCACTTCACAAACATCAACAGGAAGTCATCACAACAACAGGAAGTCACATGGTCGCACACAGGAAACAACCAAAAAAAAAAGTGGAAATACATGAGTTTCACAATAAAAGCCTTTTCACTTCCTCCAGCAAAGTCGTGACTCCAGACAAAGAGAATTCAGAGAAAACAACCAATCAGCTCATTAAATCTGATTTCATTTATGATTTTATTTAGAAAGACCTGATTGGCTGATTTCCTCCCTCAAACTTCACGGAGATAGAGTGAAGAAGACTTTTATTTTGTTAGATTCAGGAGAGATATATAAATATTTCGTAAACATCAACACAGTAACAACATTTATTAACGTCTTCGCTTGGAGCAGGGAAACAGGAAGAGACGAACTTCGCACCTTCAAAATAAAACTTTTCGTTTTTTGGGAAAATTTTGGATGAATTAGTTTTGAAAAAAAAAATAAAACTTCACATAAACAAAACTGTTTTGGCTGAGATTGAAGCTAATGTTGCTAACGTCCAAGTCTCCTCTGTTTGCCCCGCCCTTGTCGGATATTCGTGGCTCCGCCTCCTCAGCCCGCCACGCGGTAGTTGGCGTGAAACTCAGGCTGAATGTCGCAGACGCGTCGCAGCAACTCGACAAGCACCGCCTCCCGGTTACCGCGATAACTGGTCTGGATGCGAGCCATTCGCTCGACGGTGTCGCGGTCGACTTCGACCGCGCTGTTGCCATGGGAACCGAGGGCCTGGGGGGGAATTAAGAAAATATGAAGAAATGTCAAGAAGCTAAAATAACTAAAATATAGGAACAATGAAAACATTAAAAATAAACGTTTTAAATTACGAGGAAAGGAAATATTATGAAACATCTAAAAAATAAAGAAAATAAAAAATATGAACAAAGACATGAACAATACTTCAGTCTATCAATACTTCTACATGTAAATACAGCAGATAAAACATTACAGTACATATTCGAGAAAATACTAGAAGTTCCTAATTTATTAAATGTCTTAGAATAAAAAAATATTATCAAGAGACTTCAGTAAAGAGGATTATATTAAACTTTAAAAAATATTAAGAACTGAGAATACTATAAATACATTTAGAATATGAGGAAGAAATACTGTTAAACATTTGTAAATATTTCTAATAAACTGAAGCAGAATGAAGAAGAGAAACAGTAGTATTACTAGTAGTAGTACTAGTATAGTAGTACTAGTACTAGCAGTATTGTGTACGTACAGCAGCCTCTTTGGTCTTGAACTCTTTCTCTCTCTGTAGTCGATACTGTTCGATCTCAGCCTGAGCTTCTTCCTTCGCCTGCTTCAGACGACGGTTCTTACCTGCAGAGACAAGAAGTAATTATACAGTCATATATTTAAATATATTAATTATACAGTCATATATTTAAATACGCTGGTACAGACTGCTGAAGGGGTTTCTATTATTTTGTCCACACGGTTTATATGATTGATCATCTCTGACTCTGTATCACGTGACGTGGTCACCATATCCCATGATGCTCAGCGGCTGACTCATCAATCATAAATATCTATTTTTATGAGCAGAAAAGAACAATAGATACAGATGATAGTAAAACAGCTTTATCATTAACACTAAATACTTTAAAGGTTTTAGAAAATGTTCTCAGGACTCGTTTAGAGGAATCAATCTATTCAATGGAAATATATAAATAAGAAGTCATAAGGATAGATGTTGGTACGCACAGTATTCTAACTGTTCATGTTGCGTTAGTGAAGGTGAGGACGCTCCTTAATTCGGTGCATGTTTAACTCGTTCAGTTTCTTTATCACAGTTAAAGGTTTCAGTTTGTTATCGATGTGAAGTGAAGAGCAGCACGAGCTGCGTCAGAAGGAACGACATCTTCACTAAACACGCGAGTTCATGAGAACTGACGGAGCCGATGTAAAGACAGGAAGTGACTGATTCTGACTTTATCTCCACATTTGATTGAATTTATTAAAAATGAGAAATAGAAGCAAATCATCGCTGAACTCTCATATTTCCAGGTCGGGTTCAGTTCCAGCCGGTTGTCTCTACCGGAGGCTCTTAGGCCGCCTGTCGTACTCACGCTTGCGGGCTTCGGCCACCTTCTCGGCGGCTCTCTTCTCGGCCTGCAGCAGCTGCTGGATGCCCTGAGACTGACTCGCCATGTCGGATCAGAGGAGCGGAGGACGGAGCAACTAGAACCGGGAAAAATCACCGAAATGAGGGTCGACGGAGGATTTTAGTCTCTTTCCGCTGTTGACCGCAGTCAGCTGATGTCACGTCACGCTGCGGAGCTCACGTGATCTCCTTCTTCTTCTTCTTATATATTTTTTAATGTTAGTTTTAGCGCCACCTGCTGTTTCGGAGTTTAAATCAGATTATATTTTATATATTAATCCTGTTTCTCTGAAGTAGAAGTAGTAATACTACAGCGTAGAAATACTCTGTTACAGTACTCATTATGCAGGAATATTATATTATATATATATATATATATATATATATATATATATATATATATATATTATTGTGTTCATCACTTTAATGTTGGCGCTACTGCCCCCCCCACCTCAATAACCTCGAGATTCTTCTTCTTATTATTGCTATTTACAATGGTAGATTATATAGCCTAATATATATGATATAATATAAAATATTTCTTCAACACAACACTTATTTGTTTTTCTATTGTTCATACTGTAGATGTTTATATTTAATTATTCTGTTGTAATCTTTAATGAAACTCTGGCACAAGAAGTTATATTTAATCTCATCTCCTCCTCACCGTTATAAACATGAATATAATTTATAAAACATAATAATCTTCATTTTATTTCAAAAAAGGGACTTGATTCCAAAATGTAAACTGTCATTTTATTTAAAAAAAGCAAAAACACTTAAACATTTGTGAAAATATCGTTGTCAGAAAAAGCAGAAAAAAAACTCCTCATGACGACATCAGCGTGACATCAGCATGACATCAGCATGACATCACTCAGACAGCCACAGTTTGAAGGTGCGGTCGTAGGAGCAGGTGGCAATCAGTTTCCCGTCAGGTGACACGTCGACGCCCATCACCTGGGAAACAAAACGTTTGTGACACGTTAGCGACGATGAGGCGTCTCCACCAATCAGCAGCAGCGTCTGAACGGACCAATCGGTGAGCAGCGTACGTACCTTCCCCTCGTGTCCGGCGAGCGTCTTCAGCGGCGTCCAGCCCGGGTGACTCCAGACCTTCGCCATGTTGTCGTAAGCTCCGGTCAACAGGAAGTGACCGTCTGTGGCTGCACACACAAACAGGAAGTGAGGTCAGAGACACAAACAGGAAACAGACATCAAAGTTAGATGGGAAAAGAAAAGTGAAAAAACTAAAGAAAACTAAACTGGAAAAAACATTTTAAAAAATGTATGTAGCTTAAAAAAAGGAAATTTAAATGGTGAATAACAGACAAACACTAAAATAAAAACAGTAGAGAAAACATTTAAGATATGAAATAAAACTAAATAAAATACACACAAATATTAATAAAATAGAACAGAAAATGAAATAAAATGTTTACGTTGGAAGCGGACAGAGGACAGCAGGTTCTGGTGGGCGGGGACTGTGTACAGACACTTCCTGTTTCTCAGCTCCCAAACCTTACAGGTGTTGTCACCACTTCCTGTCGCCAGGTGATACCTGAGAGAACACAGAGAAACAAAACTACATTTAAATACTTCAAACATTTAGATTTTTACAATCACAAAATTTGTCAAAACAAAACTAATTAATTTTTATTAACAACGAAATAAAGTTCAAACATTTACTATCTGAGGACAAAAATATGTCCTCAGATCCCATTATGGATTAAATCTAAATTCTCTATGAAGCCTTAAAGCTGTTTGTATTTGGCTGTTTTCTGAGTGCTCGTCTCTGACCGGCTGTGTGTTTAGCATGCTCGTCTCTGATCGGCTGTGTGTTTAGCATGCTCGTCTCTGA